GGAAAGGGGTCCTGTGTTCCTTTGAGAAGCTTGGCAGAGGGGGAACACAAACGAGTTGGAAGAGGAGATGAACTCCAAGTTCTGAGGTTAAAGGTTGTGCACTGTATCATCTGTGATCACAGATGAGAGTGTGTGAAGAGATAAGCTGGCAGAGATGTGAAAGACGGTGGCATGGAGGGGAGGAAGTGATAGATCAAGATCCTGGGAATAACAAGATGTTGGTACCAAAGCCCAGAGAGCACTGAGCCATGAGTGATGGGGTATACCTTTATGTTTATGGATCAAGTGTGCCTGACTAGGTAGCTCCAGCTGACCCTGGACTCTATAAACCAGGATGGCTTGAGATTCACAGATACCAACTGCGTCTAGTTTCCAAGTTCTGAGGTTAAAGGTTGTGCACTGTATTATGTTGGCATAAGGAGGTTGGATTTCCTTCCCACTCGTAACTGCAGGAACCTTCTCAGTAACTGTGTCCTGTGCTAATTGGCAGGGCCATCTATTTGGGTTAAAACTTGTACCAGTGGATGCGGGAGGTGGGAGAAGACACTGATGAACACTGATGAGCAGTGCCCAGAGCTGGTTGGTGTCATTTCTCTGCTTTGCTGTTGGAGGAAAAGCATTCACTCAGGGCGGACCCATGCTGGGATCTGACCAGCGGGATGAGGGACCTACTTTCTAATGACATCAAGGGCTGCTTGGCTTCAGCGTGATTAATTGATGAGTCAAGGACAGCAAGAGGAGATGGATAGCAGTAATCACAATGCTGTTAAAATAGGACAAGAAGCCGGGCGGTGGTGGCGCACGCCTTTAATCCCAGCACTCGGGAGGCAGAGACAGGTGGATCTCTGTGAGTTCAAGGCCAGCCTGGTCTACAGAGCTAGTTCCAGGATAGGCTCCAAAGCCACAGAGAAACCCTGTCTCGAAAAAACCAAAAAAAAAAAAAAATAGGACATGAAGAGCTTCAAATACCAAGGCTCACTGTTGCTCAAAACCATTAACATCACAAATCAGTTTATGATTTAATTAGAAGCACTTATAACAATACAATCTTGAGAATATAAAGGCTTTAGTTGTTGCTGGAAAGATGAACATTTACAAATAAGTTATCAAATAGGCAGGAAGACAGGTGCACACACGGCAGCAGCAGAGGCAGGGAAGAGAAAGGACTTAAGTTAGATAGACCGATGTTGTATCTTGTTTTCATGAGACTGAGCTCCTGCCAAGTCTACTGGCTGTGATGCCCTTTTTAATGTATTCGTGCTAATAGAATGTAATAACTAAATTCAGGGATAAGATTACCAGAAAGAATATACACTTTTTATTCCCCATTCCACCCCTTTTCTTGGCTCTTTGGAGAGTCTATGTAGCTCAGGCTGGCCTCAAAACACTGGGTCTTCCAGTTTCAGTCCCTCAAGGGCTAGGATTACAGATATGCACCACTATACCCAGCTCCATGCTTCCTCTAGGAAGTTGAATGTATTTGCTATGTTCTTACTATACAGAAACTACATTGTTTATATGCGTAAGAATTAGGTTTCATCATTCTTTCAGGTAGCTTCAGCTGTCAACTTGACACAGACCAGAGTCATCTGACATAGTCTCAACTGGAGGGACTGCTTCAAAGAAACTGGCCTGTGGACATTCCTGTAGGCATTTTTCTAGATTGTTCATTGATGTGGGCAATATGAGCACTGGGCAGATGGCCCTGGTTTATATAAGAAAAGCTGTCTTAGCAACAACCAGAGGAGCCAGCCAGTAAGTATCATTTTCCCATGGTTTCTGTTTCAGGTTCCTGCTTTGAGTTCCTGTCTTGACTTCCTTCAACTATGGACTAGAACCTGTAAGCTAAAATGAACCCTTTCTTTCCCAAGTTGCCTTTGGTCAGTGTTTTATCACAGCACAAGAAAAATAACCAGGACAGTCATCTAGGTTGAAGTCATGGTGGCCATATAGAAAATCCATCATCATTAACTAACAGCTATTTCTTTGTATCAGCTTTTCACTTGCTTTTCAGGGAACGCTGAAACTTTTTGTCCCTGATTTGATCCAGACATGATGACCCCAAAGAAACCAATTCCATAACAGAAGGCAAAGCAAGTTTCTTTATAAATATTTAAGATCATATATTGATTATTTCAAAGTCCAGAGCATCTTTTCATACATTATCTAATTTGGTCCCCACTACTGCCCTGTGAGTAGGAATTACCTCCCCCAGACAGCACCTCCTCAACACTATTTGTGATACTGTCAAGTTGACAGGGTCTAGAATCACCAAGGATATCTGGTCTGACATAGTCTCAACTGGAGGGACTGCTTCAAAGAAACCTCTGGGCATATCTGTTAAGAAGTTTCTAGATTAGATTGAGAGGAATGATCCACTGTGAATTTGGGCAGCACCAATCCTATGAGTTAGGGTCCTGGACTAAATAAGAAGGAGCAAGTGAGTTGAACCCCAGCACTCCTGTTTCCTGCTGGCGAATACAGTGGGCCCAGCTGCCACGAGCTCCTGCTGCAGTGATGGACTGTGTAAGCCTTGCAGCTTGGATGGAGAGACGGGCAAGGAGCACCATGGCTCTGCTCCAGGGAAAGGTTTCCCCAGTGAAGCTGTTAGAGCTCTGCTCATGTCCAGTGAAGTGTTATTGTAAGCGGACTTTTCTGTCCCACCAGCCACCCCCCAAATAACCACACAGAGATTTAATATTAATTATAAATGCTTGGCCAATAGCTTACACTCATTTTTAGCTCGCTCTTATTACTTAAATTAATCCATTTCTATTGATCTAGGTGCTGCCCTGAGGCTCGATTACCTCTCAGTTTGCACTTCCCATTCGGCTCACTCTGTTTCGTGGCCTCTCCTGAGACTCCACCCTCTCCCCCTCCCCCCCAGCATTCTCTCTGTCTGGAAAATCCTGCCTAGCCACCAGCCGATCAGCTTTTCATTAGCAATGAGAGTAACAAATCTTTACAGTGTACAGGATTATTCCACAGCATGTTACAGACTTGCTTTGCTTAAGAGAAAGTTTCCAGAGCGAAAGTGTTAGAGCTCTGCTTAGGTCCCCCAGGGTATAACAACTCTGCTCGGCTTGGGGAAGGCTTCCCCAGCTAAAGTGTTACAGTTTGGCTCAGCTCTGCTCAGGCAAAGTCGCTCAGGTTTCTGGGGGTACAACAACTCTGCTACCCTAGGGGAGAGGTTTCTCCAGTGAAACTGTTAACAATTCTGCTCAGCTCTGGCTCTGGCAAAAGTTGTTATGGCCGGGCTTCTCTCCAGCAAAATTGTCACACCACACAACAAACCTCACTCAAGACATTTATTAGGAAGGAAGAATCCAGGAGGGTGGATGCTTCTAGGGCAAGGCGGCAGCAAAACGAACAGGGTGTGGAAGTTACACAGGGTTCCACGGGGGAGAGGGGCGGAGCTTTTCCAGGGTGGCTTGGGATTGGTGGGATTTAGTGCTCAGCGTGCTCAGGGAGGGGAGGGATTTCAATACCTGTTCCCAAGTCAGGGTCAGGGTGTTTTTCCTTGGCCCCTTTTACCAGACAGACAATCCCCTCGCACTGTGAGCCAAACCAAACCCTTCTTTGAGCTGCCTTCATCAGGGATTTTCTCACAGCAATTAGAAAAGAAACAAACTACACGATGTGGTTTGAAAGTGTGCTGTGAAGAACCATGGGCCTGGAAAAGCGAATTCCCTCAGTAAAAGACAATAAATATACAGACACCCAAATGTCGCTGGAGATTAGTTCCTCAGGGAAGGACCCTAAGGGTGGAACTTAAAAGAACATCAAAATGGAACATTTTTCGCTAGAGCAAGTATTACACTGAAGAAGGAATTCAAGCCCTAATGGGGTTGAAATCGATGAAGGGTACTGATTCTGAGCGACAACTCTTCTTTTATGTATTCTCCATTTCTTCCAAACTCACCTCTCTGCCATTATACACTAGCAAATCCAGTTTCCATTCAACAAACGTTTACTGACCTGGAACTATTCTGTGCAGCAGCCATATATTGCTATTTAAGTTTATTAAAATTTAATAAAATAAGAAAACCGGTTCTTCGATTCTGTCAATCCCAAGTCACATCTCGAATACAATGAACAGCGCAGATTATTGAAGGTTCTATTAGTACTGTATTGGACAGTTAATGTAACAGGAACGAAAATCTTCCAGTAGTTGAGAGGCTGAGGCAGGAGCATTATGAGCTGAAGGCCAGTCTGCAGAACAAAGTGAGGAAAGAGAAAAGGCAGAGGGGAAGTAGGGACTGGGAAAGACGGTGACAGAGAATGATTAGGAATGAATCTGTGTCTTTGGCTTTGAGATCTGAAAGCTTAGGAATTAAGAAAAACTAACACTCTTCTCGTAACCAGGGAATTGTGGCTACGTGTTTCCGTCTCCTAACATCACGACATCCGTACCATTGTTGTGCTCACTGTAAGGCTATCCCAGGACCCCACGACCAAGGTACGTGGGCTACAAAGGACCAAGTGAGATAGCCTGTGTTTGTTGGAGCTCAGGAGGGCTTGTGGGCAAGAAGAGATCAAAACCCATTTGTCCACACCGAAGTACGCCCCGAATGGGCCGCTGACTCCGTACAGTGGAATTACCTGGGCCAGTCTACAGAGCCCATTCCCTGTCTCCCAGTGGAAGCTCTGCTGGTGGCCGCGTCACCACTCCGAAGCTCCACACCACGCAACTCCTTGACTCAGTTTCCTCCTGCATGCCTGTTGCCTGGGGTCGCACCGGAATCCAGACAGCCGCCAGCCTGTTTCTCCGCGTGTGGGCCCGAGGCTTGGCTGGTCCGCCAGCGCGCGTCACCCGCCTGGCGCACAGAGGCTCGGAACGCGCGTCCCCGCGGATCCCGCCCGCGTCCCGCCTGGCCCGGCCAGCCGCGGCTGCCTACCCTCGCAGATCTGCTCCCATAGGTTCTTCCCCGGCGGCTCGGCGACCAGCGCGGGCGACACGAGCCTTTCTAGAGACCCGGGCGACACTGCGGGCACGGGCATCCGTGTAGTGACCGAAGAGTCCACCGAACCTCCCGCCTCCTGGCGCAGCGCGCTGCGTTTGGACACCTGTCAGAACGCCGCCATGCACGCGGTTTCCAAAGCAACCGTGGGCGACGTGAGGCCTCGACCCGGAAGTAGACATCCCTCCCGGGGGCGGGCCAGAAGCGAAAAAATGACTTCCGGGTCGCAGCAGCGCGGGCGCTCACGTGGGGTCGTTTGGCTTGCGGGTGCACCAGGTGAGTTTGGGTGGCGCGGGCGAGCTACTTGGTGGGTCCTGCACCGTGAGAGAGAGCAAGAACAAAGATAAGACACTTCCAAACCTGTCCGCAGCCCTCGTTTTCTTCCCGAAGTCCTCCCGTCTTGAAGTTGGCCTGGGAATGACCCTAGCTAGCAGTCTGCGGTTCGTGAGGGCAGCACACGCTCCTCTGAGTTCGAATCCGTGTTTTGCCCCTTGCTGACTTTGAGACCTAGTGATTTAACCTCTCCGAGGTCTATGATGTTTGCGGGGGCGGTCACACCAACTCTGCCTGAGGCTACTGCGGGAATTTCAAAGTGCTTTAAGAGCCTGCGTAATGGCCCACGTCTATAATTCCAGCGCGCGGGACCAGGCCGGCGTAGCCACGTTTATCCAAAACAGCGCTTTTGAAGAAAGCATGTGTTCCTAGGTGATGCAGTGTAGATTCGTTTCCACTTCTGGCGAGAGTGGATGCCTGTAACAGTTACCGTACTGGAAAGCAGGATGTTACAGAGTGCCTAGGGGCAGAGCTAAAAGTGGATTAAGCTGATTCCTGAGACTTTTTTCTTCCAGCCTTCTCTCTTGACCACCCCCCCCCCCAATCCTGTAGCATCCTGGTCTTGTTTGACACCGCCCTTTTGGGAAATGTATCTTCCTCTCCCGTGTGAACCCCCTTCCCCAGTCCTCTAAAAGTCCGTATGTCTTGAGGCCCAATCAGTTCCCTTCTTAATTACCATCATTGCAGTCCTGTTCATGTCATCCATGTTGGCCAGAGTCACACCTTTGCCTCCGACCTGGACATATTCCCGTTCGGTGGAACTTTCAAGGCTTCTGTCTGAGGCAGCTGGCTGCCAGATCACCCTCCACTTTAGTCTAAAGGGTTGACACCGCCATCCTTCTATTGTTGCTCAAGCTAGAGAACCATGTTCAAACATTTTCTTGACAACTGGACACTGTCATGGTTAGTTGGAGGTCAGCTAGACACAAGCTAGCATCATTTGGGAAGAGGAACTCAGAGCTGAGGAAATACCTCCATATCGTTGATCTATAGGCAAGTCTTTGGGGGCATTTTCTTGATTAATAATTGATGTGGGAAGGTCCAGCCCACTGTGGGTAATGCTACTCCTGGGAGGTGGTCTTGAGTTGTCTGAGAAAGCAGGCTGAGTTAGCCACGAGGAGCAAACCAGTAAGCAGCATTCCTCCATGGCATCTGTATGAGTTCTTTCCTTTGGTTCCTGCCGTGACTTCCTGCCCTCAGTGATGGACTGTTACCTAAAAGTGTAAGATGACCTAAACCCTCTCCGCAAGTTGTTGTTGTTCCTGTGTTTTATCACAGCAGTTGATACCCTAACAAATAATGTAAGCATGTTAATGACCTTCCTAACCCTAAACTTAACAAGCTATCTTGCGGCCAGGTGGTGGTGGCGCACACCTTTAATCCCAGCACTCGGGAGGCAGAGGCAGGTGGTTCTCTGAGTTCAAGGCCAGCCTGGTCTACAAGAGCCTAGTTCCAGGACAGGCTCCAAAGCTACAGAGAAACCCTGTCTCAAAAAAACACAAACAAACAAAAAACAAGCTATCTTGCTGCCTTTGTTCCTTGCTGGAGGGAGAGAGGGTTGTGTTAGCTTCCTATGCACCCTGGCTGGCCTGGAACACATTTTGTAGACCAAGCTGGCTTCTAACTTGTTTTTCCAGGCTCTGCCTCTGCTTTCCCAAACTTTCCAAGCTCTGGATTGCATACATACTTGCCGTCACGCTTGGCCTGCCCTTCCTCTTAGGACCTGTGTCTTTTCCCCACCTGCCTGCTTTGATGACTGGTGTTGATCGCATTCATCTCTGAATCAGTAGTGGTCCTGTAGTAAGTATGGACAACCTGCTCTGGGCCGGGCACGGAGCAGCTCCAGGAATACATAGGGCGATAGGGTAGACAGGAATGAATACATGGCTTTAGATATTACCAGAAATGTCCACGTAACCCTAGAGCGAGGTGTGAATGGACGTGAACTATATAGCTCAGTCTTGGCCTAGATCATTGAGGCTGCCAGGAATGACCTGAGTCCTGTGTGGGGCCTGTGAGCTCAAAGCCAAGGAGTGCTGCAGGATGGAGTCGCTCCTGGTCTCCTAATTTTCACCTCCCCCTTAGAATCTTCTGGTGTTTTGTCTCTAAGTTCCCTCTAGTCCAGGAGTAGCAAGAACCAGACTGGTGACTGTAGTGAAAGCCATATATTGAGGCCTCTAACCGCTTGTCATAAGTACTTCCATTTTCCTGAGGAAAGCTAGGTAATCATGGTTTCTAAGTGTTATTGCCATTCATTAATTCTCAGCAATCACTTTGAAATTGAAGAAGTGAAACAGGTTTGCAGACTGAGGCAGCCCCCAGTTGAGTACCTTCTGGTTCAACCTTTATATGGAGGGTAAAACTGAGGTCCAGAGAAGCAAATGCTATCAGGCAAGAAGGAGAATACCAGTGTTTCCATTGGATATAAGTGTTTGGAGTCCTGGCTGAGGCTTGTCTCACTATGCCATGTTGTTTAGGTAGCTTGGGATGGTAAAAATTGATGGACAAGGAATTTATCCTATCTAGTGTTGTAGCACTATTTAGATCAGCCAGAGGAAGGGGTTGACTTAACTTGACCACTTTTTGGGGTCTAATGGGAGTCAGTGAGGAAGGCTGTATGGAATTTCTGCTTCATCTGGTAAAAGGGAAGCTGTGGGGGCCAGCCAAAGGCTTGATCACAGTTGGGTCCTGCAGTGCTGACTTGGGTAGCCACTTGGTAAAGATCTGTTGAATTTAGGTCTGGTGGTTTCAGGAAGATGGTAGACAAGGTCTCACCAGTGCTCTTTTCTGTAGTTTTTCCAGCACCTCTTCCAGGATGGATGTGTTATTTCCTCCCAGAAAAGGCAACTGACATTCAGAGAGGTTAAGTGATCAGAGTCAAGTTGAGTGAGTAGTTTGGCTTTGAACAAAGGGCTATCTGGATTTATACTTCCTGCCATTTAAATGTCTTTCCTCCTGTTCCCAGTGAATGGGGACTGTTTTTCCCATCTCCCCGCATGTCAAGCTCCCCACTCAGAGAAATACTATAAAGAGCTTCAGAACCACAGCCTGGGACTGGGTAAAATGATAAATGGCATTATTTCTGTTTTTCTCCTCAGGAATGGTCACCAAGACTCAGAAAGTAGACCTGGGCCCCCAGCTCCCAGAGAAGAAGAAAAAGAAGAAGAAGAGAAAGAAGGCGATGGTTACAGAGGTCACAGAACCGGAGACTCAATACTCAGTCTTAAACAATAATGACTATTTTGTTGATATTTCTCCTCCAAGAGTCACATCCCCCTCCAACAGTGTGGGTGAAGGACAGGACCCTGAGACATCACTGGGCAAGAGAAAGAAGAAGAAAAAGTCCCCTAGTGCTCACTTGGAGGAGCACCTGGAGTCTGAGGCCACACAGAGAGGATGGAAAAAGTCCCCCAGCCCTAGAAGGCTGGTTTGTGAGCAGTCAGCAGAATGCCTCAGTGGAGAGAAGAAAAAGAAGAGGAGGAAGTCCTTACCACCAGCCACCTCCCAAGGCTCAGTGCTGAAGACCTCCCCAGACCCCAAGCGTGCTGAGGAAGTAAGCAAAGCCAGTAAGAAGGCCAAAAAACACAGGAAGGAAAAAAAGGTTCTGGACGTTGAGGCCTGTCCTCCCCAGGACTCTTGGTTCTATGAGGCTGGGGATGCTCTGTGCCCATGCTCAGGGGAGACAGAGGGTGAGGAGCAGGCGGCCTTGGGGCAGAAAAGGAAGCAGGGGAGCCCCAGAGAGCACAGCACAAAGAAAAAAAAGAAGAAGACCCACCAAGAGGGAGATACCCTCCCGATCCACGCCAAGGTCTCCGTAGAGAGCAGCCTGAAGAAAGGAAGTAAGAAGTCACTCAAAAGCGAAGCTTTGGACTACATCCCGATAGACAGCCCAAAGGCCCCTGGGAAGAAGAAAGTGAAATCCAGGAAAAAGGTGGACCAGCCAGACAGTGAAGGGCTGGCTGTGAAAAGGAAGAAAAAGAAGAGGAAAGACAGTGGAGTAAAGGAAGACCACTGGCAGGAGGAAGAAGAGGTAGGATTCCTTGGGGCTTGGTGGGGTTGCCATGTGAGTACCTATAGACAGGTCAGCATGGGCACTTGTGCATTTAGCTTACGGAGCCCCTCACTGTGTGTGTGTGAATATGTGCTAGAAAAGGATAGGAATTAGCTGTTTTCAAGTACAGTGGATCCCGGGGCTCCTGCAGCATCTCTAGTAAGAAGTACAGTTGTCCTTCGCCATCCATAAATGGAGTCTGTTTTTACATGACTGTCTTATGGCTTGTATTCTTTTCACTTGCTGGCTACCTCCAAAATTGATAGTTTGAGATAGCCTGGTATCTGCAGCTATAGTCTGTAGGATTACATAGCGTGCCTGAAGCTCAGAGCTCTCAACTTCACCCACAAGTCCGATGGAGAAACCATCCTGCTTCTCTCTAGCTCACAGATAAGGACAGTGTGAGGCTGAAGAATCTGTCTGAGGTCACCCAGTTGGGGCCAGGTAGAGTTGGGTGACACACCCAGACAGTGTTGCTTCTGGTTCAGGAGACCCCTAAGCGTGTCAGGAGATGCCAGTGTGTCCTTTCCAAAAAGCCATTTTCCATTGTCTCAGCAGCCCAAGAAGTGACTGTCTTCAATGGGAGCAAGCTCTGGCTTCTCTAGCTCTTCCAGCCATTGCCCAGTGGCCCTCCCTCCTGCAGTTGCTGATGGCCATTTCCTGAGTGAGGAGCACCTTGGGAGACAGGGCTGTCAGTAAGATGTTGCTGACCTTCATCTTCTTTTCCAGATGGGTTGGGATGACAGGGATAGTCCCATGTTGGGGCTTGCAGAGGGCTTCTGGTTGCTGGCCTCCCAGCTTTGTCTTCATGCATTAGGCTCTCTGTTTGACCACACATGGCTTGATTGTGCAAGTCAGAAGACACTTTGAGGAAGACCATCCTCTCCTTTATTATGTGGGTCCTGGGTAAACTTAGGTCAATCAGACATGCTCCTCTTTATTCAGAAACTCAGAGCTAGGGAGATGGTTAGTGGGTAAGAGTGCTTGCTCTGTAACCACTGGGACCTGAGTTCTAATCCCCAGTAACCACCTAAAAGCTGTGCATGGCAGTATATGCCTGTGATCTCAGCACTAGTAGGAAGGGAGGTTCCAAGAGCTAGCTTCTGGTTCTTTGAGAGACCCCATCTCAAGACAATGATAAGAGAATGACAAAAGACAACGCTGATTGCCTCCAACTAAATGTACCCATGGACATGCAACACACAAACTTCAGGGTTAGGGAACCCAGAGGTTTAAAGCTAGTTCTATTTGATTTTAGGATCACTTTCCCCGAAGAGATCAGGGAAGGTATCCCCTCTGCCTCACATCTTCCAGTCAGCCCACAAAGTTTCCTGAGTCACACAGGCCTGTAATAGTGTAAGGAGAGGTAAAGAAAGTGCATATATGCACGCATGTGCGCATGCGCACACACACACCCCCAGTCATCCCATATACACATACGTGGCAGTGGGGCCATGTACAGCATTCTGAAGAAAGAATGCAAAAGCTGTTGGCAGTTGTCATTCATGGGAGACCAGGTACTGCCCCTGGCCTGACTTGCAATTAGAGGATACCCCTAGGACTTGGATAAAAATAGCTGGGGAGACCCCTGCTGGGCCATCAGCCTTGAGTCAGGAGAGCTGAATTGGAGTTGGCCTGTCACTGAGCTTCAGGGTATGATCTGGTTGTAAATCCCTTTACCTCTCTGAGCCTCTACTTCTTTGTCTGTCATCAGACTTCATGGCACCATTTGCTGGGAGATGCATGAAAGGGAAAGTGGGCAAGGCTTTGTCGACTGAGGTTCTGTCTTGGAGGCAGACGCTAGTGCTGCTGTGCTTTCTCCTCTTTCCTAGATCGTGTGACTTTACTCAGAGGGCTGCTGGGGCTTGCCTGAGTTAATATCTGCCTTTCCTGCAGGAGTCGGACACAGACCTGGAGGTGGTACTGGAAAAGAAAGGCAACATGGATGAGGCCTGCATAGATCAGGTATGGCCCAGCCTGTCCCGTGCCCCCCGCTTTACCTCTTGTCACCCCCTAGGAACCCTCAGCACACATCACGCTACAAGTTCTTGGGCTCAGAGAGACTAGGATCTCTGAAGGCCTTTTGGCTGATTCCATGGCCCACCTCTAGGGGCAGGTGAACTCATACCCTCCTGTACCTCTAGCTAGGGTATCCCAAAACTGCTGTGACTATTTCTAAGGGTCCTGATAGGCCCTCCCATGTAACCCATTGCAGGCTGTCAGGAAAACGGAGGTCCTATGACCCTGTCTATAGCTAGAGCAGGTACATGCACCCAGCCACACCCATGGGTTGTCTCCATGAATTTGTTCAGGAGCTTGAGAGAGACTAGTTTCCACTCTGTCACATGCAGGTTCCTGTGAGGGATTTAGACTTTGTGGAGAAGGGCCGTTTTTATGTCCCTTGACTCTTTGGCCTGGCAGGATTGAGGAGCTGTGGGGGCGTGGTGTTAGTCTGTGGTTTACTGGCTGCTGACCCTTCTCTTCTGTGGATCAGCATGGGTCCTTCCAGGCAGCCGTGGAAGCCAAGGGGAGGGTGTATCGGAAGGAGGCAGCTGGTCCCCATGGTGCCTGCTGAGGCAGCACTATGTCAGATTGGCTAATCCTGCCTCTCAGGTCATCATCTCCACCTTAGGAAAAAAAGGAAGATGGAGGCTATGTTTAGAAGTGGGTGGGGTCTGAGGAGAGCCACCCAGAAGAGATGGTGATGAGCCAAACCTGCTGTAGTGCTGTATCTAAGGGGAGGACCAGAGGAGGGATGCTGCTGGAGCATCTCTCCTGGGCAGGCCTGAACCACTGGCCTCCAGGCAGTTCCTAACCTCACTGCAGGCCCAGGGATGCTATAGTGGCCCAGGACACCATGCAGAGGGCCTGACCATGGGGTCTCAATTCTCCCAAGCCCTGTCCCTTGCTGCTTTTGGGTGTCCTTAGTCCCCTAAGACAGCCAAATGCTGAGCAGCCCCAGCCACCCAGCACTGTGCAGAGCTCTTGGACTTTGTAGTTCTCTGTGCCTACTAAATGTAGTCCCTGAGGCTTTCAGGGTGGCCCTTGAGTCTCTTTATTTCCCATAAATACTGAAAGTTGCTTGTGTCTAAAATGGGAAGATAGCACATTTCCGAGAGGACAGCAGCTGGAGTTCTCACACTCACTGTCGTGCCTGAACTCCTGAGCACTTCTGGTTTCTCTTGCACTCTGTGACTGAGAAGGGGGAGTCATGCAGATCTATCTACTCACTGCTCTGTCTTGGTGATCACTCACCTGTTACCCTCTTCCCTGGTTTCTCCTCTACAGCAGCTCTGTACATTTTGTGTTTAGAATTGTGTGAAAGGTCCCTTCATTTCAAAGTCCTGAAGGAGAATAAGTTAGATCTAAATCCTTGGCAAGGTACCGGCAGAGACCCTGAGCTGGCCTAGCCCGAGAGTGCCCAGTACACCGTGGGCTGCTGGGTACTGGTAGAGCAGGACCCTGAGCTGGCCTAGCCTGAGAGTGCCCATTTCTCTGCTACAGATGCTGCTGTTTCTTCCCCGACCACAAGCTTCTGGAGCTTTTCCACTTCTGCAGATGAATAATCCAGTGATCAGAAAGGTTAGGTGAGGTTTGCAAGGCTGCACAGCTGGTTAGCAGCATTGTTGGGATTCCAGCTCGTGTCTGCCTTGTTTCTAGAAAGCAGTGCTTTCCTTGTGGAAGTTGACTTCAGTATACACAATATGTATGCACAAGACAGGGCCTAGGTATTACAGTGTGGACAAGTTTCAAAACATCACTGTTATAAAATGTTCTGGTAAAGGGATGACTCTCTGTTTCAAGAAAATCACTTCTCAAGAAATTGTGCCCAAGACTAGTGTTTCAGGCCCAGGGGCCAGCTATTAACCAGAGTGTTCTGTATGCTTGGTAGCAGAGTGAAGCTCTTGAACTGCCACCCCGCACCCCTGCCCTACCTCTGTGCAGCATTAAGATTCTGGGTCTCGGGGGCTGGAGAGATGGCTCAGTGGTTAAGAGCACTGACTGCTCTTCCAGAGGACCTGGGTTCAATTCCCAGCAACCACATGGTGGCTCACAACTGTCTGAAGATCCAGTTTCAGAGGATCTGACACTTCATACCTTCACACCAGTGCACATAAAATAAAAGTTAAGTAAACCATAAAAAGTTTAAAAAAAAAAAGATTCTGGGTCTCATCACCCTCTTTTGTCCTGCATAGGTGAGGCGGAAGGCCTTGCAAGAGGAGATTGATCGTGAGTCGGGCAAGACAGAAGCTTCAGAACCCAAGAAGTGGACGGTGGGTTTACTGTGGTGGAATTGACATCTAGAACCTAAGGTGCCTGGGCACAGAATTGGTCTGAGCCAGCTGCACTTCCTCTGAAGGTGCTGGTCTCCCTGCTAGGGAGCTCGCCGCTGAGATGTGCCACCTAGGCTTCCTGTCCTGTTGTAGATGATGGGATGAGAAGGGGCTCTTTGTAGCTGTGAGAAGTGCCCATGAAGGGTGCTAAGGGTATGCAGGAGATATGGAAGTGGGGGCCAGGCCTCTAAGACTCAAGACCCTTAAGTCTTTCCAAGATTTGGAAAATGTCCTGACCCTCTCTGAGAAGGTAGGCCAGATGGGAGAAAATATGAGGGCCATGGATACATAGGTTGTTGGGCCTGGCCATAACATCACGTGTCTGCCTTCAGTCAGCTGCCGAACCTCAGCGCCTAGCTGGTATCCCACCTGTGCTGGGTGTGCAGGTACACAGGACCTCATCAGCCTGTCTAGTTCAGTGGCTCTCAACCTGTGACAGGTCACAATCCCCGTGAGGGTCAAATGACTGTTTCACAGGACCATTGGAAAACAGATAATTTACATTACGGTTCTTTTTAGTTTTTCTAGACAGGGTTTCTCTGTTTAACAGCCCTGGCTGTCCTGAAACTCACTTTATAGACTAGGCTGACCTCAAACTCAGAAAGTTCGACCTGCCTCTGCCTCCACCGCCCGGCTGTATTACAATTCTTTTTCTTTTCTTTTTTTTTTTTTTTGAGACAGTTTCTCTGTAGCTGGGACTAAAGGCATGTGCCACCGTCGCCTGGCTGTATTACAATTCTTAACAGTAGCAAAATTACAGTTATGGAATAGCAACAAAAAGAATTTGAATTTTATGGTTGGGGTGATCACAACATGAGGAACTGTTAAAGGACCATAACATTAGGAAGATTGAAAACTATTGGTCTAGAGCCTGGAGGGGGTGAGTGTGGAGGAGGGTTTGTATGCTGTCCTAGATGACTAGGAAGAAGGCTTCTCGGAGCAGGTGGCACTTATCCTAAGACCCGGAGAGTGGTGGTACCTGTCCTTAGCGTGCAGGGCCCAGAAGTGGGAGTGGACTTAGATTGGTGACAGGATAGCAGGAACTAGCTAATGTGTCACTCTAGTTCACTCCAGGACCATGGGGACATTTTTACTGGGCAGTGACCCAAGGGAGCCACTGTGGAGTTTAGGTACAGAAAGGGGAATAGGAGGTAGCACAGAAAGTTTTGTGGTGTGTTTGGGAGGTGTGGCCATGGACTTGGTACTCAGTAAATATGGGAGGAGAGAGGGAAGGACCACACCTAGGGGTAGCGCCTGCTCTGTCCTTAGCCTCCTGCTAACAGACAGCATTGATCTGGATGCGAGGCCTGAGGCCAGTTACTGACTGCCACTCTCTAGGCTAGTATGTTCTCCTTGGAGAACCTCAGTTTCCACTTCTATTAAATGGGCTCCTATTATGGCCTCAGGGGATGGGCAGAGGGGATGGAGTAGGTCTTTTTGTTTGCTTAGATAGGGTCTCATGTAGCCTCATACAAAGACTGTGTAGGCAAGTATGAACTTGAACTCCTAATCTTCCTGCCTGTACCTCCCAAGTGCATGCACACTAGGCCTGGTTTATATACTGCCGGAGATAGAACCCAGGGCTTTATACACGCTAAGCAGGTACTTTACCAACTGAGCCGCATCTCTAGCCCTGGAGTTTTGTTGTGTGTCTTCTTTCTCTCTCACCTCTTAAGCTGAACAGAGCTGATAGGATAGCAAATTGAATAAATAAAACGAGACAGGGTCACATCACTCAACCAGTGCTCCAGGCACCATTCTCGTAATCTGGCTGCCAGAGCATGGGTCCTGGAGCCAGCCAGAGGTATTCTGAGTGTCCTTGGTCACTTGCTTGTGGAAATTCCACTGCATTGATGGGGATTCCAGACTGGCAGGCCCAGTCAGCCCTGGGCTTGGATCTAACTGGTGTCCCAGGCAGCATCTGCCTTAGAAACTGCAGTCTAGAAGCCACACTTACGTGGGTCACATGAGGCTGAGAGAATGTCACCAGTTCATCTAGGACAGCTGTAGTGATGCCTGTTCTGATTGTCTCCCAACACCAACTTAGAAATGAGTGCTAGGTTGGCATTTGGCTCTTGGGCCATGTGGAGGTCAGCAGTCAGGTGGTGAGAAGTCCTTCACTGTGGACCTATGATATGGTGAAAAATGTGTGCTGTGGCTTTGGCATAAGGCCTGACTCTGCTCTCTGGTGCTGGTGTGAGGGTGTTAGCCCATTAGAAGAGGGCTTTGAGGCTTAGGGAGAGTGGTTGTGATTGGATCACACAGGTGGGGCTTTATCCCACGCTGCCTTAACTTCAGCGTCACAGTCTTGGGGACTTGGGCTTCCTGCCCATCTTGCAGACCTGAGGTGGAGTGGGTTTTCTAGCACAGGGCCTTCTGTGTACTGTTGGGTCCTGACCTTACTCTTGTCTGGAGTACCTGACTGGTGAGTGCTGTGGTGTGGGGCAGCTTTGCTGTGTTGAAACCGAGGGAAGGGTTATGATGTGCTCTGTGCTACAAGGTGGGGGAAGGGGTGAGGGAGGTGGCTTGGTGCTTAAAGTACTTGCCACTCAAGCAAGCATGAGGATCTAAGTTTGAATCCCCACAAGTCCCTTGAAAGCCAGACACACAAGTGTCTGTGATGTCAGCTCTCCTGTGAGGTGCTGGGAGTCTGTTGTAGGACACTGATCTATTTGATGTACAACCAAACATCTGCTTACCCCAGATAGGGAGTTAATGTCAGACCAAAGTAATGATACCACCAAAACTGAATAAACTAGCTTATTGGGGTTGCAGGAGTATGGGTGAGGTGTTACTTGGAAGAGTATGAATAGCTGAAGGGTGGCTGCATTGCCAAAAGTCCCCTCAGCATGAGTGACAGCTCATGAAAGCTGAAACTCTGGAGTTCTGTGCACAACTTGCAGGCTGCTCAGCTGGTCTGCAGTCCTTCCTGCTCATGTGACCTTGAGGAGGAAAGGGCCTTGTGATCTGCTAAGTTCCAAGGACTGTCTGAGACTTACGAGTTTACTTCCTGGGTGTTAATAAGCTTCCCTCTCAGAATGGATACTTAAAATCAGAGGCTCACTACATAATATAGGCAATACAGGAGAATCTCTGGAAGCTCAGGGCCAGCCAAGCATATGCAGCAGAAAAATCAATAGAGATTTTGTCTCAAGGTAGAAGACAAGGACCAACCTGAGATTATCCTCTGACCTCCACATGTGTGCACATACATTGTGGATGAACACACACAAAAAACACAAGGTGGGCTGTGGAAAGGTTGGGAAGTGTTACAGAGTCAGGTGAGGTGTGCTTGTGTTTTGAGGTATTGTGTGTGATACATGAAGTGAGGTGAAGTTTCTCGCTGTCACCATGTGTTGGGAGAAAGAGTAGAGCTCAAATTAGCTTGGTGTGCAGTGATGCCCTTGTGAGAAGCCAGTGGTAGGCTCTCGGGCTGGTCCTTCTTGACATATCACTCCCATTAAGCGTTAGGACTCATTAGGATGGATGAAACAGTCCATTGCTTGGCTGAGGGAGAGGAGGTGTTTGTCTTCGAGGGCAATGACAGCCTTTACTCTCTACTCAGGGAACCCAGTTTGGCCAGTGGGACACTGCTGGCTTTGAAAATGAAGAGCAGAAGCTGAAATTCCTGAAGCTTATGGGTGGCTTTAAGCATCTGTCGCCGTCATTCAGCCGCCCTCCCAGCATGACTAGCAGGCACAACATGGCTCTGGACAAGAAGTCTTCAGACACACTCCAGCAGAATCTGCAGCAGGACTATGATCGGGCCATGAGCTGGAAGTACAGCCGTGGGGCTGGCCTGGGCTTCTCCTCTGAGGCTCGCAAGGTCTTCTACATTGACCGGAACGCCTCCAAGTCTATTAAGTTGCAAGATTAAACTTTATTGCCCTGTTCCTAAAACTGCATTCTTGATCAGTTTTCCATCTGCCAAGCTGGCTTGGATCAGTCACCTGCAGATATTGAGGACCACTCGTGATGAGTTTTGGACGAGCAGGTGGAAGCTGCTTATGTCAGGAACCAGTACCAGTGGCTAAACCTCCTATTTTCTGTTCTAAACCTTCCACCTCCTTGGGTGAAAGTGTTTTAGTAATAGTAGCTAGCAGTTGTTGGCATGTGCAGGGCCCTGACTAAGGTGTTTTCCTTGCATTGATGTATTTAAACCTAATTACGGAATGGGTGCTATTCTCATCACCTCTTAAGTTCAGGGATAAAGTAATAAAATGCCCAGGGTCACCTCCGCCAAGTGCCATCAAGAGTACATCACACAGCTTCACTCAGTGATCAGTGAATGGAGAAAGCAAGTGTTGTGCCATGTCTTCCATGGGGACCAACAAATTTGTTTTTCCTCTGGAGATAGACCTCTGAGCTGGAGGCTTTCCAGCTGTCATCCTTCCGTCTGAGTGCAGTGCTTGGATTTGATGTTTCTACACATGGATTGAATGTCATACACGGCATTTTGGACAGCAGGTAACCTACATGTGGACCCATGTGAGATCCTCAACAGTGAGTTAACACAACCTTAGACCACTTGTGTGAAGTCAAACGTAAGGACCAATGGGAAGGAAGGTGCTTCATCTGCTGCCGGCACCATCCCCACCCTGAACTGCACAGCAAGCTCCAGGACGCTCCAGCTTCAGAGAGCCACACGATGGGACTTTCTTCTACCAGCCCTTGCAGTCTGGCATTGAGACACACATAAGGACATTTTCCTGTCTCTTGGTGTGGCACTTCACACGGATACCCCATTGCTGGCCTGCTCTCGCTTAGGCAAAAGTCCTAGCAGGGGTGGGGAGTGGAGGGATTGATGCTACACTCAGCCGGGACCTCCATCCTCCATCCTCAGCAGTTGTGTAATTGAGCTGTCGGGAAGCTGGCAGAGGCAGTTCCAGGCTGCCCCACGGTATTCTGGAGTTGGGAGAAAACCCTCTTTATGGCCAAAGAAACTTCAGCAGCCTCTTGGGAAACCTTCATGGCTTCATTCAGTTGTGTGGATGGTCCTGTATCAGCCCCTCTGGTAAGGGAGATGCCCCTCAGGCCAGCCACAGAGAGGGTGAGGTGTTCCATACCACCACATGGGCAGCAGTGGAGAGACCGTCTGAAGCAGCTGCCTCTCCCCACCCTGTCCCGACCCGTTGGCACGGGCCATGACACATCTGTTAGCAAAGACCTGTTTAGGCCACTCCCTCAGATGAACTTGGTCTTTCATAGATTCAACCGCAAGGTACAAAAAAGAAGAGCCCTTCATTCTCAGAGGACAGAATCCTGTTTAAGTCAGCCGCTAGACCAGTGGTTCTCAACCTGTGGGCCATGACCTCTATGTGGGTCTCATGTTTACGTCACAAATCCTAACACCAACGTTACAGTTATGAAGTAGCAACAATAATTTTCTGGTTGGGGGTCACCACAACATGAGGAACAACTGTATCAAAGGATCACAGCATGACAGGTTGAGAACCACAGCTCTAGACCAGTCTGGCCTTGCTCAGGACTGGGGACCAGCTGTGTAACTCCCGTAGTCACACTCCAGTTTGAGCATGGCTTAGTGCATCAGAATCTTGCACATGGCCATGTCTGGGTGGGAGAGGGTAGCTGGGTTGTCATCTCATGCCACATACACCTTGGTAGCTGTCACCCAGATCTTTTCCTTACCTGTTACACACATCTCAGTGCTGAAGGGCTGACTCGGGTGCTCCATTTGCTCACCCTTCTCTAGAGAGAATTGGAGTCTGTAAGCAAAGAAGGCTGTGGGCCTTCTTGGAATCCAGCTTTGTCTCTGCCACTCAGTGTGGGCACTGAGGGCTGTGCTTCTGTTACCTAGGCTCCTGTCCTACCAGTAGTGGCTTGAACTATCCCCCACCCCCACCTCCATGTTTTGTACCTTCTCCAGAACTTGAGTCTTCTGCATAATGTCCCATGTGAACGTGGGAGGTCAGTGACCCAGCACAGGCCTTGAACTTGGCTGTTTCTCAGGCGTTTCTCACCAGTTACTGGTACTCTATAGCAATATCCTGTCCTTAGTCACCTGCCAATGGTCACCCAAATATCAGGCCCTGACCTGAGCTACTTTCCATACCCTGACTGACAAAAGTATCTCCCAATTAGACACAGTTGTTGCCTAAAGGAGGGTATGCACTCAGCTCTGCAAGCTTCATGCTACTCAGGTTGTGACAGGCAGAATGCCGTCTGTCCTTCCCCTGTCCCAGTACCCTTGGCAGAAGGGAATTAAGATTTCTAGTCAGATGAATTTGAAATAAGATTTGGATTACCTGAGTAGGCTCCTCACAAAATCCCTTAACTGGAAGGTGACAGGGTTCGTTTGGAAGAGACGTGGAAGCCATGGACAGTCACTTGGGAAGGAAAAGGCCCCAAGCCAAGAACACGGGCGCCTTTAGGAGCTGTCTAAACTTCCACCAGAGTGCTCACAAAGCAACTTAGCAACTAGCCCAGAGGACCAGTGAGTTGTGACCAATAATTGTCAGATGATAAAAACCACAAGAAGCTACTCTGCATGTAATTTGTTAAAGTAGCAATAACCAGGAACTTAGGACATGGAAATGTCCCTGTTTTTCATTTCCTAAGAATCTTATCATATGTCCTTACTAATGGGAGTAGATGCCATCCCATGGAGATGGGCTTTCAGAAACTAGCCTGCCACTAACAGGAGGGAAGCTGCTCCAGTCCACACTTCTGCCCAGGTCAGCAACAGGATTCAGAGGCCCTGTGGTGTGTGTGCCTAATGCAGGGCTAACCTGGGTTTAACACAGGAGCCCTGGGCATTTTCTGGGCCAATGTTGGGAACTGATGCCTTCCAACATGGGCAGCTTTGAGGCAGATACCACAGCACTTTCTGGTTCTGGTGCTTGTTCACAGCACAAGAAACATTCTTCAGTATCTGATTCTTATTTTTGAGACTGGCTCATTTATCCCATATTGGCCTCAAACCTGTAACTGAGGACCCTGAACTATTGATCTTTCTGTCTCTACCTCCTGAGTGCTAGGATTATAGGCCTGTACCACCACACTCTGGTTATGTGGGGCTTGTGCACGCCTGGCCAGCATCCCACCAGCTGAGCCACGTCCTCAGCCTCATCTGATATTTTGTTTGTTTGTTTGTTTTTTTAAGACAATTTTCTCAATTCCTTGGGGTGGTGGGGACTGTTGTCAGATTGGCCCCAAATATACAATAGTAACTTTAGCCTCATAACAAGTAAGCATATGAGTTTATATGTAAATGATTTTTAACTTGTACTTTTCTAAAGTTAGTCATGTATAATGTTTTAGAGTGAAAATGAATAAAATCCATGCCTAAAGCACATAGTTTTGAGTTTGTGTATTTTGCCCAGGTTAGCTCCAGGCAATCCTGCCTCAACTTCCTAAGTAGCTGGGACTTGGAGTATGTGCCACCAAGGCAAGCAGGCTAGCCTGGAGCACAGCTGAGCTTGTGCTTGGATACATTTTCACAGGCAGTGGGTTCCAGATCAGCAGTCGGGGCAGCTGGCCAGTGACAGGGAAGTACAGCCCAAAGCCACCAGCCATCAAGGGCAGGCGCAAACTCGCTGAGAAACACAGCCATAGTGTGCAGCAGTGTATAATCTGGACGTGCTCTTCAGGAGGAGCCAGAAGTGCGCAGCTGACTTGCAGGACATTGGCTCAGCTACAGGATGGGCACTGCCATAGCCCAGGCTGGCCTCAAACTTGGCATCCTCCACGTCTCCCTCTGTTAAGTACTGGATTACAGGTGGACGTCCATGCCTGACTACAGGACACGGAGCCCCAAAAGTGACCTTTCTCCTGTATTCTAAGTCCAAATGTGACTTGTAGTCAGGAGTCAACTGGCAATGTGACATTTCTTAGTCCTCCAAGGGGTTTTATAGGACACTCTCCAATCTGGAGGTGTGATGTACAACTGTGTCTGCTTTCTGCCAGCGGAAACACCCTCCAGAAAAGGAAGCCCTGTGCCCTTGACTGGTTCCCAGCCTCAGATCCCTCCCTGGGGCTGAGAACCAGAAGGCTTCTTGGATAGTTGGAATTTTCTTTGGGCCACCAGCTCAAAAATAACAACACAGGGACTCATTATTTATGAAAGTTTGGTCTGAGCTTAGGCTTTTCCCCAACTAGCTCTTATAACTTAGATGAACCCATTTCTATTAGTCTACATTCTGCCACGAGGCATTGCCTTTATCTGTATTGCCCATCCTTCCTTCACCAACTCCACATTTCTTCTTCCCAGAGTCCTCTCTGCCCTCAGAAGTTCCACTTAACTGGCTCTTTATTACACCAATCAAAGCAATACATCTTCATACAGTGTACAAATATCCCACAATGCTCTTGTGCAAACACACTAAGACGCTGCTATCTGAAGAACAAGACTGAATTTTAATGCTTTGTCAACCCCCCCCCACACACACACCTGCTGTCAGAAGGCAAAAGCTTTAAATCAATCTGTATAAAAGTAAAAATAACAAAAACTAAATTCCAGGAGGAGTTAGTGGCAGCCAAGTAGGTCTTCCAGGACAGTGGCACTGGGGCCCCCAAGGGCAAGTACTCAGGTCCTGGTTTGCAGAGGGAGCCTCAGGGCCAGCTCCGTCAAATGATGCATGTCAGGTTGTTTGCTCCGCTTCTTGATGTAGTCCAGAGTCTTCACCTAGAAAAAAGAGCTCCATCTTGTATTTGGCTTCACGGCTCTTACCTGGGGGCTGGAGCCTCTTCTGAATTGGCCCTAAGTGAGCTTACCCTGCCTAGCTGAAAATGGGGTGTCTTCTGAGAAGCAAAAGGGTAAGATTGTAACTTACTCCTAAAATCAGACTCAGGGATCAGGGGATGAAGCTCAGTTGGCAGAGTGCTTACATGTTCCCCAGTACCACAAAAACTAGCTAGAGGAAGGAGGATCAGAAGTTCAAGATCATCTTTGGCTATATAGCAAGTTTAAGGATAGCCTGGGCTACCTAAGACTTTGTCTCAGAGGAAAAGAATCAGACTTGGCTGTGATCAGAAGTGGGTGACATTTTCAAGCAAGTAGTTTTTACTGTGAGTGACTGGGGATGCTTTCTAGCACTAGGGAGTCACCCAAAAGAGTTTAGGGGTCTGGCTCAGGGGTAATGGGGCAGCTTGCGGTGCTACTGATGCTGTATCAAGGTCAGTGCCAGAGGGCTGGCAAGGGCCCTGATGCTTACCATGGTCCTTGTGTCTGCACAGCCGTGCCTCTGAGCCAGGTGCCACAGGTTGACAGAGAGTTGGTTCAGCTTGTTGTTACGAAGGTCCCCATGGGCCAGGATGCTATTGAAGAAGGAAAGGCCCAGCAAGCTCTGGCGTTTCAGGGCCTGGAAGAGAGAAGGGAAGCTCTGACTGTGGCCTGGTACACTGGATGGGCTCAGTGTAAATGTCCTTATGCCAACTTTGCCATGTGTTTGCTGAGCCCACCCTGCACCTGTGAAATGACAGTGAGATGCACAACACATGGTGAACGAGGACAGAGGCACCACAAGCTCTGAGCTCTGCTGCACACCGGGCCATCACCATGGTTAGGGGAGACCCAACAGTCGCTGGGTTGGGGAGTGAGGCCTAACAGCAGAGAAAAGGCTGCCCTTCAAGCACAAGTCAGGCTGGAAGGCTGCCACGTGGATCTCAGCTGTGGCTCCAGCTTCTGCATGCTGTGGTCACTACTGCTGATCCTACCGACAACGCTCCTGAATTGGGCCAGATTTGGCCTCTACAAGAAGCACCTACTGCAAGGCATGGTGTGCATGCCTAATCCCAGCTCTAAGGTAGAGGCAGGGGGACCAATTCTAAGTCATCTTCAGCTCTATAGGAAGTTGGAGGTCAGGCTGAATGAGACCCTGTCTCAAAAATAAAAAATTTGAAGAAAAAAAAAAGGAAAAAGAAAAGAAGAGCAAGCCTCTCAACACTGTGACGCCAGGCCTTTCAGGAATCTGATTTTGTTGGATGACCTGCGAGGCACCTAACCAAAGAAACATTTAACCCACGTGACCGGCTTTGACTGACAGGTACGACGGGGAAGAAACGGTGCAGCGACAGCTCAGGTAAAAGAACACACTTCCTCGGGGAGCAGATGACGATCACAGAGAAACCACGTCTACAGGTGGGCACCTGCTGTTTCAGGGTGCCCATGGAACTCGATGTCACCGGATGCTGGCCAGGCCTGGCAGCCCTGCCAAATTGTGCCACCAGTGCCATGCATGCCTGCTCTAGTCCACAGCAGCGAACAGGTACCAGACACTCAGCGTATGCTAGAACCTTTGCTTCACACGTCATATCTCTGGGGCTGGCACATTCACAACGTATGCTGGGTAAGCTTTTCCAGCATTTTTACATGTGCAGTAAGGCAGGCTCTGCTCGGAGGGCTAGTGCTGATGGAAATCAGGTGTCTGGGTACTCCCAATCTAGTGATGGTGCCCTTCAAAGGTAGAATAAAGGTCTGGCCAGAGTCAGGGACAAGCAGGGAGAGAGAGAGAAAGGCCATCAAGGCTGAGGACACAGATTTGTAAAGGGCTCTATGTGAGCACAAGGGCCTCTGTCAGATCCCCAGCACCCATATAAAAATGTGGGTGGTGGCACACACTTGTAATTCCAGTGGGGAGAAAGGGTCCTTGAGGCTCACTGGTCAGCCTGCTTAGCCGTATTGGCAAGCCCCAGGTCAAAGAAGATACCCAACCTCAAAACTTGTAGCCAGAATAACACGCCTTTAATCCCAGCACTGAAGAGGCAGAGGCAGGTGGATCTCTGGGTTTGAGGCCAGCCTGGTCTACAATGCAAGTTCCAGGATAGCCAGGGCTACACAGAGAAACCTTGTCTCAAAAAACAAAAACACCACCCAGCTTGAGAATGAGGGGGCTCTTCCTCCCTCATCG